TATATATGTATATGTATGATGTATGTATGTATATGTGAAATATTAAATGGTTGTTTATTCTGACCACATCATATTGAATTTTTGTAAAAAAAAATCATTTTTTCACACTAAAATACATAGTTTAGGGGGGCTTTAAAATATTTTAGGGGGGGTCCAGTGACGCCAATGTCGACTGCTATGTTCTGTGTTCCTTATTTCCTACATGTTGTCACAGGTTGTTCAGAATGGTTCTTCAGTCTGGTTCAGTTTCTGAAAACATCTTCATCTGCCACACCTAAAAATACCCTCCATGTTTGCAGAGTGGGTATACACCACCCCCCTCCCCCCCACGTGCAATCTGCAAATATCAAACACCTGAAACGATGAAGTGAAATTAAACAGACGAGGCTGAGAGGTTTAAATTTGTGAAAAGAGGTGATTAACAACAGACGGGTGTGTTATTTAAACACCTCAAATGAAATGAGAATCTATGGAGAGGGGGGAAAACACAGCGTCAAGCTGCCYAGCWAACCAAGAGGAATGATTTCAAACCRCCCCCTCCTCACCTCCTGTCTGATCTATCCCAAAAAAAACCCCGAGCTGTTATTAACACTGACCCTACAGAGTGTCTGAATTCTCAGGACCGGCAGTGAGTCGAGCCAAACAGGAACGTGAAATAGCAGCAAAAGCATCCACTAATCCCTGCTGCCAGCTCCACGAATCACACACACTCTCTCTCTCTATCGCTTTGTTCTGTCTGAAATAACTTCAGCTCTGGATTCCTCAGCTGACTCGAAGAACTACTACAAATTGTTCAAGAACTGAGGCGAGACAACAGCTGATTCTTCTTCAGGTTTTGAAGAAACACCCACCGAGGTCCTTACAATAAACAATCAGGAAGTGGATGAGCAAAGCACTGCATGCRCAAAAACTTGCCATGAAATATTAGGTGCTAACAGATCATCTGCTTATCCGTAAATGCAAAAATGAGAAGTTATCAGTGAGCAATATTATTTTTAAGCCATGTTTAAAATCCACATAGGTATCAGTAAGGAAGGAAATCACAAGGTAACATAAAAAGAAGGGAATTTTTTCTTCTAAAAATGCATGGTTTTGTTGTCAAATTCATACAAACTGTAGACCCAATCTGACAGACCCAATCTGACAGATGTAGGCATTTACTAAAAATAGATGGCCTGACGTCGGCGATTAGAGTGAGATTTGACAAGTCTAATCCAAAAAGAAGACTAAACATAAAAGGACGGACATCTCAGCAGCTTCAGTTTTGTTTTTTGTCTTTTCTTCGTACCGCAATGGCACCTCGCTCACCACCGAAGGTGAAGGCAGATTTATGTTTAACTTTAATTTATGTATTAACTTTGTATGACTGTTATCAAAATGTCTCACAAACTACTGAATGGATTTGAATMAAAAATTCAGAAAGTAATAATTGAGTGTGCGTTCACAGTAAATTAACTTTTGAATTAAACCCAGACCAGAGGTAGAAGGAATACTTCTCTGACCTTCTCAATCCCATGGGCATGTCTTCTATAAAGGAAGCAGAGTTTGAGGACTTTGGGTT